TCCTACACAAGTGTGAACTGACATTTTTACAACTTGGAGGATAGAAGACTGAAAATATCATTGGAAAAAGACAAAAACGTCAGAAGTACCATTGACAGACCGCACCGTCTATAAAGGATTTCACTATGTCGGAGTATCAGACCAAAGACCTCTCCACCTTCACTGGCTACACCAGAGGTGGACAAATGTATAAAGAATCCAAGGGGTCAATCTGCCCTATCCAGGAGCCAGAAGAATGTTTTAGGAGCCATTTCCATTGACAACAACTAGAGAAAACCCCCAAAATTATAGGTGTAAATGTTAAGGAGCATTGGATACCTGACTTCTGGGAGTTGTCCAGCCCACCATTGTAGAATTCAGAAGCAAATATTCAGGAAACAAGGATCATTAAAAAGGATTGTGCCAGCTGTAATATTTGTCAGCCATGTTGATGTAGATTGGCTCGGCCCTACAGGCCTACCTGGCAGAACTATAGTGGACCAGACCTTGTTGGTTGGATCGGGCACAGAGTATGATGAAGAGGCTTCCTAAGAAGAAGAAAGCTTTGCTCCTATGGATCTTCCCATTGATGCTGCACCATTAGATGGAATACAATCCTCTATATGGTTTTTTACAGAGTCCTAGGAGTTGCAGCCACCATTTATAACGAGAAACCCCGGCACCTCATGACTACGGACAGTGCGACCAGAAAATTTTTTTTCAAACGTTTCACGTTCCTCTGATTTCCCTCAGAGTTCTGCAGAAACATTTCAAAGTGTTGACAAGAAACATTCAGAGACCAGACACCTCCGGGGCACCAGCGCAAGAATTCTACCCGAATTATTACCGGTACTGCCAGTCCCTCACCGCATGCAATGTGCACACAGACAGCCCGAAGACACTCGTATACAAAAGCAAAGTATGCGCTGTGCATTCCACTTCTCATTCCAGCCATGCCCACACAGAGCAAAGTCAATTGTCTTTTTGTAGCTATACATGTAAAATGTGATTAGCTTATAAGTTGTATCAATGAGATGAGTGAGGTCTTCATATGCTTGTATATGGTCTGTAATGATGTACATGGAGCTAGCTTTGCTTATTACATATGCAGGGTCGGCTTCCTGTTCAGCAGTGCTGCCCATCCT